AGAAAGCGGATGGGTCTTCAGTCTTCCGGAGATGGTTGACACGGCGGTGGTCTGTACACTTGGTCTATCAAAGTATCGATCACCACAGAAAAAGGACAGCACAAAAAAGGTCTACACAGTATCGGTCAGCACAGAAGATCAGCACAAGGAGGTCTACACATTGCTTGCCCAGCTGATGGTGGAAGGCGGTAGAGGGCTAGGCGGCCAGGGCCCGGCTCGAGTAGCCCAGGGCCCAGTTCCAATAGTCCTTGCGATGCACAAGTCCGCTCGCGGGGCCTGGGTGGTAAAGGACTAGCGTCTGGAATAGGCTCAGATGGAAAGCCCCACTTTGGAAGAGCAGCGATGTTGGGCGATGTTAGGCCCAATGGTGGGCGACTTATGCAGGCCGGATGGAGGAGGCCCCACCAGAAGGGGCCGATGGTAAAGGCCCAGCCGGACAATGCCCACAGCGCAGCAGCCCGCGTGGTAGGCCCAGGCCCGCGTGGTAGGCCCAGGCGGCCGAGGCCCCGGCCGGGGCGGCGCTCGCGTCGGCGGCAGCCTCGGAAGCCCAGGCAGAGAAGGCCCCAGCTGGGGCGGTGTTCGCGGTGGCCCCTCGGCCTCCTGGCCGCCTCTCCCCCCGGTCTCCCTCTAGCAGCTACCTCTTCCCGGCCATCCGTTGCAAGGAGTCCGTTTCAAGTAAAGTCCGTTGCACTTTACAATTCTCCCCTTTTCTCCATGTCTGCAATCACACTTTTGTTTCCTTCTTCCATTTGCTCTCCCTTTTTAGGTCTCTTATTTTTGTTTCTGGCAAAAATGGTCCATCTGTTATAACTGGGCCATAGCCACAGTTGAAATGTTTATAGTAGCGTTCACATTTCATTTGTTGCATTTTTATTCAGGTAAGATGAAAACTTAACTTGGATGTGCAAGTTTGCAGCAAATCAACTTGGTTCCTGATTTTTCATTTGAGAAACACATCAAAAGCAGTGATACTTCCTGGTAGGAGCTAAATTACCTGTATAAACTTTGGGTTTGCATCTAGCTATTCTACTGTTGAACTAAACTTATTGGTGGTCTAGTATTTCTAATAGGAGAATTGGGTGATTTCTAAACTTTGGGTGCCATCATGTGGCAGTTCCTGATAGTGCACTGTTTATAAAGAAAACTGACAGCAGTATTAGTCTGGAATTTAACTACCATTTTATGTGTAACTTAAAAGTTGCTGTGGATTTAGCCAAAGAGTTATCTTGCCCACCATTTTTTCTGAAGTGTTAAACAATGGGAATCTTAAAGTGAGATGCAAGTGTAGCAGCACTGTCTAAATCATGTTTCTAAACAACTTATATTGACAGACATGCTGCATCTAATATAAGATGTACAATAAGTCCTTGATATCTGCTGAGGTTGAGTTCTAGGATACCAAAATCATGGATGCTCAAATCCAATTATATACAATGGCATAATAAAATAGACCCTTCTCTCTGTAGACCTAGCAGACACAGTCCTGGGCTTTTTTTAAATCTTGTTATGTAACATTTTATTTGTCTCCTTAATTAGCTTATCCCAAAATTCCTGTGTGATCACACAGGTCCACCTCATGTGGAGGAATGCCCCTTTCTGTTTCCTGCACCTCCAGCAAACACCTTGTTGTGACTTGTCTATTTTGGCCAATGTTGCTGGAGTGATATAACACCTATAAAACATTTTGTATTGATTCTCCCTGATTGAACCCGACAAAGTAAATTTGAATTCTTTGTTCCATAGGTATTCCCATTTGTCCAATTCTATTGGTCTGCCTAGGTCCTTGGCCCAGGATATCATTACTGTCTTGACTCTGTTGTCCTTGTGTAAGGTCTGTGGTATGTGTGTAAAATGCCATGTGCTGATTTCCTGAATATTATGGAAAAAAATTAATACAAAGCTCTGACTGAAAGCAGTGGAAAACAGGCAGAAATAGCAAGTCTATGTGTATTAAGATATGTAAATGATAATAATTTGTACTTAATGACAAAATTAACTGATTGATTGAATAAGGTAGAAAGGCATATACACGTCAAAAATATTGATACTTGATTATATCTGCCATGATTTGCTTTTCTGTTATGTACCATAATTAAAATAAACAGTTTTAACTGAAATAAAATAAAATAGACCCTTGTATAAAATGGCTAAACCAAGGTTTTATTATGAATTTAAAAATCTAGCTGTGGATGGTTCAATCTGTGGATATGGAGTCTATGAATACAGGACACAGACTGCTGTACAATCATCATGAGAAGTAATAATGACTGATAACTTTTTTCCACCCATAGAGTAACATTGCTCTACATAATTGATAATGTAATCTTGGGGGGGGGGGGGGGATGGATTATAGTAGAAGTTGGGATGTCTTGAACACACCTCATGGTGGCAAGTGTTACATGTTTTTGTGGATTCCTGGCTGTTTTAAGAGACTGTGGGGCAATTGTGGGAGGTGTGTGAATGGACTGTTTGGCTCCTTGAGTTTCCAAGACATCCAATCTCTCATATACCTTTTAGTAATGTGACATATTGTAAGGAGATGAAAGCAAGCATTTAAATTTGTTAATGAGTCGAAATAGTAGGAGCATTACATCAGATACATTCCTTGCCACCTGAAGAAACTTCTTTGTTCATTCCAGAGCATTCATTCTATCAATTTCTCCCTCTTCTAGATAGAGAAAGAAGCAAAACTGTTTGTACAGGGCAAAAAGGTTAATTGTCGCCAGGAGATATTCAGAAACCTAGAGATAATGAGAGAGAATACGCTTGGGAAAGGTGTGCTTAGATTACATGGGAATACCTTGGCAGAATTTGAGCCAATGTAATGCAGTGGTTTGTTGACTATGTCTCTTGAAACTAGAGTTCAAATTCCCCCTCAGCCACGACAACCCACTGGGTTACCTAGGGCAAGTCACATTCTCCCACCCTTAGAAGAAGGCAAAGGCAAACCTTATCTGAACAAATTTGCCTCAGGGATGCCATAAGTAGGGAATAACATAAAGGCATTCATCATCAAACTTTGGTGGAAGCATAATCTTATCCAGAGCCTGTAAAAACATTTTTTTCTGAAAAACAAATAATTAAAAAACATAGATAATCTTTTGCTTTAAATATCATTTTACATTTTGATCTTTAGACAATAAACGTTCAAAGAATCTAAACAAAAAATCTTTAGTATTTTTTCCTGAGCAAGGAAAGCAAAGCCTATAATATATTCTTATCTTGTTTATTTTCCTCAGAATTGGCAGGGCTGTCTATTGCATACCACCCTAACAAGTACTGTCAAGAGATAGAACCCAGTGGCATTAGATCATAAATAGTCAACAGGAAGGAGTCTTTATGATTTAAAAGATACGGTTACGTGGAAGGTAAACTGCCTCGCCTATTTAAGCTGGAAGGGAGGGGCCACAGATTGCAAAAGTGCAGGTTTCACTGTGCCAGGTACTTCCTGCTGTATACCACACCTGTTTTATCACCGACGCTCAATGAAATCCTGAAGTGAAAGCCAGCATGTTACCTGGAAACAGCAGAATCCCCTCAAATGCGGATGGTACATGCTGCCCTTCAAAGCTCACCAATGTTAAGACTGTGTGTTTTCACCTGTTTCCTGGCAGTAAGAGCAGGTAAGATAACCATTTTAAAGTTTCTTGTAAGAAAAGGTAGCATTAAGGTTTGAACTTCGAAAGGCAGCACACTCTATACTGTGAATTATGATTCTAAATGCGAGTCCAGTGAATATCATCTTTTCAAATCAGTAGAAAAGTCTTCATAATAAAACTAAAGGTATTTTATCTTTGGTAGCCTGTATAAAACTATGTAGGTAGGATGATTTTGGTATGATAAGAAAAAATTGGTATGATAAGAAACAAAGATGGCAGGGACCTAACAGAAGCTGAAGAGATCAAGAGAAGGTGGCAAGACTATACAGAAGATCTGTATAGGAAGGATAATAATATTGAGGATAGTTTTGACGGTGTGGTGAATGAATTAGAACCAGACATCCTGAGGAGTGAGGTTGAATGGGCCTTAAGAAGCTTTGCTAACAACAAGGCAGCAGGAGACGACGGGATCCCAGCTGAACTGTTTAAAATCTTAAAAGATGATGCTGTCAAGGTGATGCATGCCATTTGCCAGCAAATATGGAAAACACAAGAATGGCCATCAGACTGGAAAAAATCAACTTATATCCCCATACCAAAAAAGGGAAATGCGAAAGACTGCTCAAACTTCCGTACAGTGGCCCTTATTTCTCATGCCAGTAAGGTAATGCTCAAGATCCTGCAAGGAAGACTCCAGCAATACATGGAGCGAGAGTTGCCAGATGTTCAAGCTGGGTTTAGAAAAGGTAGAGGAACGAGAGGCCAAATTGCCAATATCCGCTGGATAATGGAGAAAGGCAGGGAGTTTCAGAAAAACATCTACTTCTGCTTCATTGACTATTCTAAAGCCTTTGACTGTGTGGATCATAATAAATTGTGGCAAGTTCTTGGTGGTATGGGCATACCAAATCACCTTGTCTCTCTCCTGAGGAATCTGTACAAGGACCAAGTAGCAACAGTAAGAACTGACCATGGAACAACAGACTGGTTCAAGATTGGGAAAGGCGTACGGCAAGGCTGCATCCTCTCACCCAACCTTTTTAACTTGTATGCAGAACACATCATGCGATGTGCGGGGCTGGATGAATGCAAAGCTGGGGTGAAAATTGCTGGAAGAACCATTAACAACCTCAGATATGCAGATGACACCACTCTGATGGCCGAAAGCGAGGAGGAGCTGAGGAGCCTTCTAATCAAGGTGAAAGAAGAAAGCGCAAAAGCCGGGTTGCAGCTAAACGTCAAAAAAACCAAGATTATGGCAACAAGAATGATTGACAACTGGAAAATAGAGGGAGAAACCGTCGAGGCCGTGACAGACTTTGTATTTCTAGGTGCAAAGATTACTGCAGATGCAGACTGTAGCCAGGAAATCAGAAGACGCTTACTTCTTGGGAGGAGAGCAATGTCCAGTCTCGATAAAATAGTAAAGAGTAGAGACATCAGACTGGCAACAAAGATCCGCCTAGTCAAAGCCATGGTATTCCCTGTAGTAACCTACGGATGTGAGAGCTGGACCTTAGGGAAGGCTGAGCGAAGGAAGATCGATGCTTTTGAACTGTGGTGCTGGAGGAAAGTTCTGAGAGTGCTTGGACTGCAAGAAGATCCAACCAGTCCATACTTCAGGAAATAAAGCCCAACTGCTCATTGGAAGGAATGATAGTAGAGGCAAAGATTAAGTACTTTGGCTACATTATGAGAAGAAAGGAAAACTTAGAGAAGACAATGATGCTGGGGAAAATGGAAGGAAAAAGGAAGGGGCCGACCAAGGGCAAGATGGATGGATGGCATCCTTGAAGTGACTGGACTGACCTTGAAGGAGCTGGGGGTGGTGACGGCTGACAGGGAGCTCTGGCGTGGGCTGGTCCATGAGGTCACGAAGAGTCGGAGACGACTGAACGAATGAACAACAACAAAGGATGATTTGTATGTGGTGAAAAGAGTAGCTGTAGAAAACTAGGTGAGTTGTGTAGTTCTCACAAGCTCAATCCCTGCCTTCCATTCTTCGAGGCTAGACCAACTGTAAAGCCATTATAGGGATCAACTTACACTTTTTCTTACACTTTTCTTACACTTTTTCAACTCACTATCCCTTTCTGCTTAATACATTTTTATGTGACTCCAGGTATATAGGAATGAAAACAGATATAAACGTTACACAGGTGCTGGTAATAAAGCTGTGTTTGTAAGGCTTCCTAAACAAGCTGGGGTTTTTTTTGGGGGGGGGGGGGCTTTCACTGAAGCATTTTCTGCAGAATCCTCTGTAAACTGTATATCATTGCTAACAGGTTTATGTAAAGAAAGGCGATCAGAAAGCTTTTACTGTTGGGCAATTTTTGTGTGAACCCAGCTTTGGGCTATGTGGATTCTTTTGGGGTATAGATAAACTTTGTATATTCATGTGATCTAAAAGACTAATTTTAATGTATTTATATATTTGCTCAAATAGGCATGCAATATATATTTGTTGTGTACAATGTTATATTTCCATTCTGTTGATAATTCACTAACATTTCTCGTACAGTATCTTAAGGAGCCTCTGACTTCTGTTTGGGTAGGGCCCTACCTAATAGACTATTTTAAAACATATTTACTCAGAAATAAAATCCATTACTCTTGAGAAAAATATTTGAAAAATAAATGTGTTATATACACAGGAATAGCAGTTTTTGACTTACTGCATGAAATCTTCATATTTTGGCATTAAATTAATAGAAATGAAGATCAGTGTGAGATTTGATGTTGTGAGACTGAGTGATATAGTTATACAGGGAATATATTTATTACAGTATATATATATTATTTCTGCATAACGGAAAATGCAGAATGCAAAAGCAAATAGAATAGAAGTCTTTGCAGTGAGAAGCAACCAGTCAAAACAAGCAGTACACAGAAATGATAACATCTTAAGTATGCAGTTTAGATGGTTGAAGCTTGCAAAGTTACGTTACCTTGTTTCAGGATTATGTATACAAAATTTACATTGCTGCCTTTACCTAGCAAATTGCACAATGTTTGTTTTTAAACATCTAGGCATTATTATAAATTGACTGTAAACACTTTAAAACAGAAAGGAAGGGGAAAAGGTTTAAAGTCTTAATGATGAAAATAATTTTGCTAGTTTGAAAAAAAAATGTAGTCTTGTTGGCAAAAGGAATAGCACATTATGGGTAGGAATGCTCGTTTTCTTCAAAAGTTCAGTGTAACAGAGTTCATTTGTCTGATGGACTGTGTCAGAGTTGATTTGATATAAATCAGACTAAGCTATGGCAAATCATAATTTAAATCAGTTCTCTGAAGTCCTCTATTTCAGTTATTTCAATCACAATTTAAATTACTAGTGAGGAAGATTCTACTTAGTCATCATTTGTACAGGGTTGTTTAATATAATCTGAATGGATATTCAAAGGTGAAGATTTATTATACAGTAGGGTTCATAGTACACATACTAAGTAATTACTCTGAATTGCTTTTGAATTAATTTCAGTTCATAAAAATAATATCCCTTGCATTTATATCCAGATCTGCTCCTTGTTTACATCTCCTCATCCTCACCAAATTCTCTGTTTACTGACCATATCCATATAGAGAGGCAAGACTGAGAGATTGAACTTTATGTATGTTATGTACAGAATAGAGCCAGTAAACTTCCCATCTCCATACATTGCTCCATCTACATAAATTGCTGCTAACATAGTCATAGAACATAATTAGTAGTTACATAGTTAATATTCATGGCAAAATATTTGACTTAATCTCTTAAAGAACATTTTATATCCACTTTACATTTAAAAAACTTTTGAAATAATAATTCATATTTTTATATGTAAAAGCCATTAATTTTTATCAACACTGTACATTATTTAAAAAATCATTTTTGACCACTGAAGAAATAGAAGGAAGTAATATTTTATAAGGTGATACCCAAGAAATTGTTTTGGAAAATATAGTGAACTCGATTAAAGCCAGTATTGCAAATCATGTGAACAGGTTAGCTGTTAATCAAATATTTTCTTCATTTATGAAGCATATTGGATAACCTTTAGAAAGTTTCTAATCTTTAGCCCAAAGCACTTGGCAAACTTATTTCAGTTTAAAGTGAGCTCATTCTCATGAAATTCCCAAATTACTTTTAAGAAATAAATACTGTCTAATTGGAAGTCAGGAAAACTTGGAGAAGACAATGATGCTGGGGAAAATGGAAGGTAAAAGGAAGAGGGATAGACCAAGGACAAGGTGGATGGATGGTATCTTTGCAGTGACTGGCTTGACCTTGAAGGCGCTGGGGCTGGTCCATGAGGTCATGAAGAGTCAGACGTGACTAAATGAATAAACAACATTGTCTAATTGACAAACATATTTCTTTTCTAATATTTCAGACGTAGGGCAAGAATGCCCTAAATTTACTTCTTTAGGTTTTCCTGATGCCATCCTTGGTACAAATCTGAAAGTGCAACTACTCCTGTATACAAAAAGAAATCCGAACTGTGCTGAGACCTTTGGTGACCACAATAACCACAATCTAACAGTATCTACATATCTAAATGTGACCAAGAAAACGATAATTATTATCCATGGCTACAGGCCCACAGGATCTCCACCAGTGTGGATTGATAAAATTAAAGATCTTCTGCTTGAAATAGAAGATGCCAACATCCTAATAGTGGATTGGAATCGGGGTGCCACAACATTAAATTATCCCAGTGCTGTTTCAAATGCCAAGAAATTGGTAGATATCCTGAAGAACCTGCTCGAACAAATGTTGGTAAGAACCATAGTATACATTGCCATGTTAAATGACATAATCATTATACTATGTAGCTCAGTTTATCATCTTCTAGTGTCAAAATCATATTTGTTAGTTCTTGGGAAATTGATATAGTCTGAAGGATAAAGCAGTTCATGATCTGTCATAGTTTACATATTTTGCTTTTGAATTATGTATGAAAATGAGAAATGCCCAAATGCATTGCTAGAATACTTGAACAGTTGTAGTGTACATAGCCTGGGAAGCCATGACCAAACATAACTTAATCATATACACATAGTAAAGGATCAATATGTGTGATTTTCATGTGTGCAATATAATGTCAGATCTACTATGGCTGGAATACAGCATAGATTCTCACACACGATATCTCATAGCTTCAAAAATGTCTTACATGAAATTCCTTGCATATAGATTGAAGCCATTAATAAACAAAACTTTAAAATCCATATTAGCGCTCTCTTGTACTCTACAGTAAAGCCTCATTTGGATAGGTTTTCACCAGTACTAAGAAAAAGGCTTGATCTGGAAGTGTTGTAGTTCATTGGCAGGGTGGATGCTTTGCACTAATTCTAGATGCAATCTATGGTATCTCCAGCTTTCACTGGGAAAGATTTCTGTTAGATTCCCTGAAGAAGCAGGTAGTGCACAATAAATGATCAGTTCATCTTTCTTACTTTTAAAAGGGTATTTTCACTTTTAAAAGGGGTCGGGCTTAGCATAGCATTTTAAACCTGTAAGCTGCAGAAAATTCTGCCCATCAAAAAGCTGGCAGTTCAAGCCTCGGTTGGGGTGAGTACCTGTGATCAATCCCAGCTTCTGCCCACCTAGCGGATTGAAAACAGAAACGTGAGTAGATAAATAGGCACCGCCAAGATTGATTTATACACTTGGATTTTCCAGATTGTCCCATTGTTCAATTTTAAACCCTAGGTCCGATTCCCATACCAATCTCAGTCCATTTAATGTTCTAAATTTTACTTCTTGAAATATCCAATATAGTTTGGAAACTTGCCCCTTGGTTTTATTCAATTAGTCATTACAGTCACAGACCACATAATTTGATGTTGATCTGGAGTGGGGTACTCTAGCTGGAGTGGAGTCCACACAGGCAACTGCTGGGCCTGCTCAGTTTCTGGTGGGTGCCTTCACTGAGGGTGCTTCCAGACAGCACGAAATCATGGGTTTTTAATGAGAGGCAAAAAATCCCGGGATTTCAGAGAGGTCCACATGCAGACCTGTTGGTCACGGGATTTCTGCCTCCATTGTCCGGACTTGAGGCTTTGTTCCAAGATTTAGAGGCTCCCAAGATGGGCACCACGGACTTCTGCTGGAAACTGGCAGTTTTTGTAAAAGCCCGCAAGATGCGGATATGCAGAGATTCAGTTATGGAGATCACCACAAAAGCTCAGTTCTATGTACAGGCCAGAGAAACGGCCCTCCATACGTTTCATAACGTTTCTGGCACACAAAGTTTACAGGGTAGGACTACTTCTGTCCAAGTCAGCACTACACAATGAAACAGGAACACACACTTTTAAGCCAAGAACATAATTTTGTCATTATGTACTATTTTTAGAGCCTGGCTGCCTGGTCATCTGTCCAGACAGATTTGGTTGTGCACTTGTGGCATCAAACAACAAGGTGCTGTTCCTGGGTTATACATGGCTGTTCCTGTTTAATAAAGAAGAATAATTTTGGTTTAACAGTAAAAACTTTTTATTATTCCCATGGCTATTATAATGTACCCAGAGACTGGAAGTAACTATTGCCAGTGATCACATCATGTTGTTATTTTTTAAGTAATGTAAAGACTGTCAAGACCGGTGTAGCAAATAACATTTATTCATTACTTCCAAAATGATGCCGCAGACAATGCGTGCCCTTTTGTAGTTTTAAAAAAATTACATTATTTTCAGATAAATAACAAGTAGGTCATACTAATAAGTTACTTGGAAAAATCTGCAAATACTGAATAACATCGTAAGCATATTATTCCCAGTCATAATTCTACCCATGCATATTTACTGACAGGAAAATGGAGCAACTCTTGAGTCTTTTTATATGATTGGAGTAAGCCTTGGTGCTCATGTAGCAGGACTTCTTGGAAAGGCATATGGTGGCAAAATCGGAAGAATTACAGGTCTTGATCCTGCAGGACCTTTATTTACTGGAAAGTCATCCCATGAGAGGTTGGATTACACTGATGCCCAGTTTGTTGATGTCATTCATACTGATATTGATGGTAACTTTATATTGATATTGCTGAATTTTGAGAATTATATTTTGGAACTATTTTTGTGGATATTGAAGACATGGGAAGCTGAATTTGCTGACATGATAACCTCAATAACTCATAAACTAACAATTAGTTAAAATGCACCAAAAATAATAATGGAAATGTGTGCTTGTGAATAAACATAGCCATGGGATTTTTATCTTTGAGCAGCAACTCTTCTGCCACACTGACAAAACAAACTTGAGGTCCATCTTGGATTACTTTAGCTTAGAGTTTGTTCAGATACAAGTTTGGATTTAGTGATCTCTCTCTACAGATTAAACTCCTTGTATCAAAGAGAGGCATAATCCCTCTCTTTAAAAAATCAATTTTAGTGGATTTTGAATTAGGTGAAAAATAGCCCCTTTCCACTTAACACTTCTTAAATTAGGGGTGAGAGTAGTTTAGTTGATCAGGTATTGGCTGGACTGCAGGTCCCAACGCCCCATCCAGAATAGCCTGTAGTGAGGAATGCTTGAAGATACATACTAACATAATCTGGAGGGAACTTGATTCCCCCTTTATCTTTAATGTGACAAAATATTACATAAATATTTATTTTGCAGATTTATTTCATTCATTCTCTTAGATCTTGTTTTTTTTAAAGAAACAAAAAAAAACCCCTTCAGCTTACTTTAAAATTAAACTCATGATGAATTGGTTGTCTTCACATTGACTCTGAAAAGAGCGATACTTAACATGCTGGCAGGACAAGAAGTTTCTTCAACTTGTTGCCTACTTGCTCCCCATTTGTACGGCTTTATTGCCAGAACAAATGATGTGGTACGTACATGCCTCCCTTTATAGGAGGACTGTGCTTTGTGAAGCTTGAGGGATGTTGGTGATAAAACAATTTTAAAAGCCAGTTGTTTAAAGGTACAAACAAACACTCTCCCCAGCCTCTCAAAAAACTCTTCAGAATTCTCCAACCCTTTCAAGCAAGTTAAAACCCGTTCAAAAAGATAAAAGATTGTCCTTTCATATTTGGCTCTTTTCAGTTGTCATTTTAAAGAAGTAATGAAAGTGAAACACAAAATGTTAGTGCACTTGAGGTGGGTGCAGCTTGTAGAACTGTCGGATGGTAGAAAAGTGCCTCCCCCACTCCATATCTGCACAGTTACCCTTCTCTCCATCTAGTCCCAAGAAAACTCAGAGATGTAATACTGGCTCCCGGCCCATTAAAGTTGCTCATTCTTGGTTAATAAGGAGGCAAAAATATATTAAGTTCATAAATTACCTGTAACGTAATTTTTTTTGCAAATGTTACTATTGATTCTGACATTTCTTCTCTATTTTCATTCATTGCATATGATATTTCTCTTAGCTTTGGGCTACAGGAAACCTTTGGGAAACATAGATTTCTATCCAAATGGAGGAACAGATCAGCCTGGATGTCCAGCATCACTCCTCGGGGGTAAGCCAGTCATAATAAATGAAGACTAAAACTGGACTCATTACAGTTCCACAGATGCAGATAAAGTTACTTAACTATTATGCTAGTGACTACTAGGAGGGCTTAATTTGTTTAGATCAGATGTTATGGTAGGAAAAGGGAACCATCCTGGCTAATATTTTCTTCATGGTGTAGTCATTCTCACTTCTGAAGTGCAAGGAAACTATGGCACTACCCGGCCCAATTAAGTTGCTCATAACAGATGAAATGTCTTGTTTAACCAATAGTGTGTTGCAGTAGCCAGAGATCCTGATTAAGGAACAAAGATACAGATTGTTTAGAGAGGCTTTATTATAGGAAATCCTTTCCAAGATAGGAAAGTAATTTAGGGTGCTAATCTAATCTAGCTTCATTCTAGCAAAGCAACTGAAGGGAGAAATAGGAAGAGATAGAAAACATCCTTAAGGGTATTAGACAAGAGGGAGGGCACTTTGAATGACCCAGAGTATTGCAGAGTGTTACTATGTCTTTCTCTAAGTGATTCTTTACTCTTCACCGCTAAGCATTGTTGCACTTCTAACACTGGTTCATGTTCTACTGTTTTACAAGTATGTATTCCTGTGATATAGCCATAAGTCAGATATACTTAACCTGTGGTGGCATAAGGGCTACATACTGCCCAAATTACTTCATTCCCTGACACTGTAGCCCTATTTCCACTAGGAACATTAACCGTCACAATTTATTTCTCGCTTGAGAGAATGGAAAACTTCATTTTCTGCCAAAGAATGATGTGACAATTTGGAAAAAATTCTCATCACCTCCACTCTTAGAAAAATGTTTGTCTCAAAAACATTGCTACTTTCCATTGGTCTCATTTTCACACAGTGGGGAAATCAGCTCACAGCATTGACTCCTTTTTGAATAGGCTGTAGTGGCATGTTATGACAACCTTTTGCCACAAGGATGGGAGAAAGTGTGAATATTCTTTACACTTCTACTAATTTGCCAGTATCTTTGGCAGCAAAGAGAGTTGTCTGTGTCAGTATAGGTGCCACAGTGTTTGCAAAGCAACAATTTCTCTAAAACTATATCCTCATTAGTTTATAAACTTTTTGTGTGCTTAGATAAAAAGCTATTCTGAAAATTGAAGAAATTTCATACATTTCCACCATAAAAATGTGAAAGTATGTAAGCAAGTTGAAGCACAGTTGACTTTAATACAATGTAACTTCAACTTACGAGCGTCCCAAGTTGTGAACATTTTGAGTTACAAGCCATCACACGTGCAAGTTTTCAATTCGACATGCAAACCAGATCCAAGTTACAAGCCTTCCCCCTTCCAAAATGGTGGCCATGCCAGGATATTGAGGCAGGCCATGTTCACAGGGAGGGAGGAGGGAGGGTCTTAGTACAGATGGTGGCAGGGAGGTCAAGAAGGAGCCTCTGAAGGGTGGATGGTGGTGGGAAGGCTGAGAGAGAGCTGCTCAGGTAAGTAGGTAGGTAGGGAGGCCAAGAGGGAGCCGCTCAGGGAGGGAAGCCCCTGAAGCCTCTGAAGCCTGCAAGGCCTTGGCAAATTGAGTTAATTTGTTCTGTAAGCTGCTCTGAGTCCTGTTTGGAGAGGGGGTGGGATATAAATAACAATTATTATTATTATTATTATTATTATTATTATTATTATTATTATCTTTATTTATACCCTGCTAACATCTCCCGAAGGACTCGGTGCGGCTTACAAAGGCCAAGGCCCTCAATAAAACAACAGCATAACAAATACAACAATAAAACTCATAAAGCAAACCAATAAACATTAAAGCAATAACAGTAAAACATCAAAACAATACATCATGACACATTTAAAACTAGGGCCGGGCCAAATGTAATGAATAAATTAAAAGTGCTGGACATGACAGGTGAAATGTAAGGATTTTAGGGTAGGTGCAATGTGCAGGCAATCTTAAATCTCTAGTAAAGTGCGTTTGGGACATGATGCTGGGAGTTTCCTATTCTGGAAAGGCACACTGGAACAGCCAGGTCTTCAAGCTCTTCCTAAAGACTGCCAACGTTGGGGCTTGTCTGATGTCCTTGGGGAGAGAGTTCCAGAGTTGGGGGGCTACCACAGAGAAGGCCCTGTCCCTCGTCCCCACCAAACGTGCTTGCGACGCAGGTGGGATCGTGAGCAGGGCTTTTCCAGATGAACGGAGGGATTGTGTGGGTTCATATACGGAAGATGCATATAATTATAATTACAATAATTATTATTCTGTGACAGAGCTCTGGAACTGGTTAATAGTATTTCAGTGCATTTCAATGGGGAAATTTGCTTTGACATATGAACTTTTTGAGTTAAGAACTTGGTCACAAAATGAATTAAACTTGGATGTCATGGTATCACTGTATTATTATTTCTTTTATTAAAGGAATCACTTTTTAACTTATTACTTTTACAGTAATTAAATTGTTTTATTATTTTTTTCTCTAAGGAGTTTCTCAATATTTCAAGTGCGATCATCAAAGATCTGTTTATTTATACATGGCATCCTTGGAAGAGAACTGTAATGTAACTGCATATCCTTGTGATTCGTATGAAGATTATAGAAATGGAAAATGTGTGAGCTGTAAAGCTTTTCATCCACTTCCATGCCCAGTACCTGGTAAGAATGATGAATTACTTTGCAAGTGTTATGGACAGAATGTTATGGATAGTCTCATGGGTTGAATCCAATAATGTTCTTCCACTGACAGTACTGCCTATGTCAGCAGGATAGTGCAAAGTTATTCTCTCTCCTCCCTTTGGTCTTTGTGCATCCTGGAAATTTGCTATGGATTTTCAGAGAACCTTGGAAATTATTATCAGCGAGCTACAGGAAAAGGAGAAATAAGGTGAATGTTTGTTATGTGAATGGACTTCTACTCAGATAATGTTTTATTCTGTTCTCTGGTACATGTTTTTCACTTTCCTGGAACAATAAGAGGAGCATTACTAGTTATTTTAGACCATCGTAATCTTCAGGTTTTTTAAACACATGATGGAAGATGAACTAGTCTCTATAATAAACTTTTCAGGTGAAAATGAAATGCTAATTGGGTAAAAAGTAAACTTAGATTGGACACACAAAAAGCATCAAATGTTACAGATAAAGCACATTAACTTGGAATAACCAGTTTGTTGGCCTTGCTGAATTTTCAGTATAGACACATTATTTGGCCATATTAATTCTGGAAATCCTACCTAACATAGCACTCAAACTGCCAAACCTGCTCTGCCTTTGGCTTCTGTGTCTCATTGCAAGTGGAATCACTTTGGAACAGGGCTTCTTAAACATTTTGCCCTCATTGTGACCCCCTTTTGCACAAGATTTTTTACATGACCCCAGGTATATAAAACAGGTTTACAAATCAAACATTTACTGATAAAAAATCCAAATTTGCAAGGCTTGTTAAACAGACTGATTTTTCTTTTGAGGGAGTACAGCTGAAGCATTTTCTGGAGAGCCCATTGTACATACTGCATGTTCTGAACACATTGGTGTAAATTGGTGGTGTTCAAAAATATTTTACTGTTGCCAAATTTTTGTGACTCCAACATTGAGCTAACTGGACCCTCATTTGGGGTTATGACTCACAGTTTAAGAAGCAGTGCTCTAGAAACAGTTCTAGAAAACAGCTATTATCATAGGATTGGAAGAACCTTAGTGGATTTCTTTTCTTTATCTTCTCTTAGAGCAGTGGTTCTTAACCTGTGGGCTGCAGACCATCAGTGGGCCGTGAGAGCGAAAATCTGGTCCGCGAGCCTCCTTCCTCTTTATTTATTTTATTTTATTTTATTTCTGCTCCTTTCACACCGCCTGCCACTTCTTCCCTGTCACAGATCATGGCATATGTTTTGTATCAGAAACTAGAGCTGATGTGGTCTATCCAATGCAATTTTCTGAATCAGCACTCAAAACCAAATCTAAAGTTGAGCAAAAACTGATTCGTAACCCCTTTTGGTAGTAACGTTGGAGAGTGGTCCCTGGTCAAAAGAAAGGTTAGGAACCACTGTCTTAGAGCTTCTGTCTTCCTTGTGTGACACCATCTGTGGTGTTAGTCTAAATACTCTCAAGATTCATTTAAGGATTCAAAGATGCCTTACCTAAAATCAAATTCTTAGAATGATAGCTATTCCAAATGCCAAAAGGGCTTTAAAAATAATTTACTTATGAATGTTAAATATAAAACAGTAGATAAATGATCTGTGGCAGTTAAAATACCAGCCCTTCTCCTCTCAAGATAAATCAGACTCTTTTTAACTCAAACTCATTCTTCTCGCTTCAGCCCCAGCCAAACCGAAATGTCTTTTCCTTCTGCTCTCTTCCTAAACCCCAGGTTACAACTACTATCCCGCTCAGATGAAATCTCTTGCCACTCACAGACTGCCTCATGCAAATCTCAAACATTTTACCCATCAGCATTCTCACTAGCATTCCTAGTAGTCACTTACCTCATCCTCTGGCATACAAACAAAAAATCAACCCACACTTTCTAATACAACCCCATGAAATAACAGGAAATAATTCTAGTTTTGCTAGAGAGGGAGTTCCAGAATTGAGAGCAATCACTGTGAAGGCCCTCTCCCTTGCCTTCACCAAACTAGCCCATGAAGGAGGCAGAAGATAGTAAACCATTATGTTGAGCAGCCTCTTAGTACTTGTAGCTTGTTTGCTTCTCTTTCAGGCATGTGGGCATATACAATAGGAAGGCATAGGTAGAGAAGAGAAGAGTGATGAGCCAGGTTTAATCCTTACCTGGTGATTCTAAGTGCAATAATAAAGCAGCTCAATACCGTGTATGGTTTTAAATGCTTATGTTTTACTTGTTTATAATGTCTTGTATTTGGTGTTCGATTGCTATTGATTTTGTATTGCGTTTTAACATGTTGGAAGCCCCTTTGGGTGCATTCGTGGGAGAAAAGCGGCATATAAATAAAGATTTATTATTATAGGTTCTTGCATTAAATCTGAACCTATATTAAATGCACACAAAGCCAACTACCAATATTTCTAAAACAACTACCTATTATTTAAAGTGAACATAACCCTGGCTTGTTTGGATGTAATTAACCATAGTTAATTTGGACCTAATAAGGAGCTATGCAATGGTAGCAATTCTACCCAAAGGGGCAAGGAAGGAACCAAAGAGCTGTTTGAACTTGAACCAGGTTTGTCCACACTAAATACTTAAACTTACTTACATTATTTACATTATAAATATTTATATTTCACCCTTCTCACCCGCAGGGAACTCAGGGTGGATTACAATGCACATATACATGGTAAACATTCAATTCCATTAAACATACAACATATATAGACAGTAGGCTTGGGTAACAATGGAAAAATTTGGTTCTAAACTCGTTTCGTTTTTAGGGGGGCCCTTGAGTTTCGTTTTTTTAAAGAATTCCGAAATTTTCCTTTAAAAAAGTTCGAAATATATGAGATTTCGTAAAATTACGAATCAATTCGTTAATGGCGGACGCAATTGCGCAATATGCGAAAAAACCCTCCAAATGGGACAGGGGAAACTTCTGAAGCTTCCCTCTCCCTCTGTTGTTGACTGTTGGTGTGATAATTTATTTTTTATCATTGATAAAACAAACAACAACTATAAAACTTGCACCAGACATACGGACATAATTACGAAACAATTATGAAACAATTTCGAAACAATTTTGAACCAATTATGAAACAATTACGAAACAATATGAAATAAATTGGAAAAATTGTTTCGATTTTTAATTACTCCTCACAGTAGTCCTGCATGGCTCAATATTGGATCGTAAGCTAATTTAAATATGAATTAATAATGAATTACGAAATTAACGAACGAAACCGCCCAAGCCTAATAGACAGACACAGCTGCAATTCAACACTCCATCTTTCTGGCTTCATGAAGGTATACTCAATTTTGGCCATGGGGAGCTGCTGCTTCACCATCCATTTGTGACACCGAATCCTTGATAGAGTATTTCCTCATTCTTATGCTGCTGGAAGGTTTTATGGTGTCATAAATTATGTAAATTATCCTCCCTGCATAAAGCGGTACCTAAATTTCCTACATGACAGGTGCAACTGTCTTTCGGGATACATAGGTCAACAACAAGCTAGACTATTAATGGTCAGGAGGTCACTCCAACCTGGGCTGGCTTCGAACTCATGACGTCTCGGTCAGTAGTGATTTAATGCAGCTGGCTACTAACTAGCTGTGCTACAATGTGAACACACTTGCTTAGTTTATATAAGTTATAAGCCAAAGGAGAAGCATCAAGCCAGCCATGCAAGCTAATGCAGAACTGCCTGCTACAGCTTCATCCCTCCCATCCCTCTTGATGAACTTTTGACTAGCTTGCAGTAATATTCTGTGTTGCTACTTAATCAGGAATGGTAAAATTATTAGTAACAATATAAAACAGAACGGGAGAGATCTGAAGCAGTGGAGACTGTTGGTTTGTATCGATTTATTCTGCATGCAAGCCCGCTTTGCTTGTAGTGGAACTTAGCATGCATAAGTTGACTCTTGTAACTTGATGCCAGTTTTGATTTCCCAGAAGAGTCTAAAATAAAAACCTATCTTTCAGCTTTTTAATCTTTCCTTTGTCATTTTTTTGTTGAACGCTTTCTAATTTACATTCCAGGTTATTATGCTGATAAATGGAAGAACCACTTAATTGAAAAGAGCCCTCCTGTGACAACAGCATACTTTGACACTTCAGACAAAGAGCCATTCTGTAGTAAGTGATTAACCATTCTCCTTACACTTGCCCCAACTTACATTATCATAGTAGCATAATGAAAACAAAACAAAACCCTTTATACTTTCTAGATAACCTCTGGCACATTCTTGATTAGACATAATTCTTTGTTGCTGTGCCATTTATGAAAAACTATTATGCTAGAAAAATCCTGGAGGGGAATAAACTGCTAACAACAACAAAAAATATCAGTATAACTTGGTAAAATATGAGCAACGAGCCGATATGACAAGAAGAGCTGGATTCACACTGAAAGAAGATTAATTTTAAGAAGGGAAGGAATGAAGGATGAACAATTTAGCTGAAGATTTATAACTATGCATTACAAGTCTGTTGCCTTGAGATGTATTTCAGTGTCACTTTGAAATAGTCATATTTTTGGAGAGTTTTTAAATTTGAGAATATAATGTATACATTTAGTCCTCTGTTTCTGCAAACTGCATGGAATCTGTAGCAGGAGATAAGAAGATGAAGGCAGGGCTTCTGGTTCTGTCTGCTCATCTAAGCAAAGGTGAATTTACTTAAAAACTGTTCAAGACAACTGCTAGCTCATATAGCTTTTTACAATAAACATAAAGCAACACAACAAAGCTAGTAGAATACTAAAGCCAGTGTGGCGTAGTGGTGAGAAATCTGTATTTGGACGTAGGAAACGTAGCCACAAAGTTCATGGATGACCCTAGGAGGCTTATCTCACAGAGTCATTATGAAGATAAAATTGGAAGAGAGCCAATACATGCCACTTTGAGCTCATTAGAGGAAAGTGAACTCCAGTGTAACTAGCTAACAGTTAACTACTTTTAATATCACCACTTTTAATAATACAATCAAAAATGGAAAGGCCCTGGTATTGCAGATATGAGTTTACATTCTAAAATGAAATATTCAAAGGTTGTGCTGCAAGTATGTTAAAATGGACAGATCTTAAGAAATTTTTTATCAACTTTAAGAAAAATTGGGATTTGTTTATCACCTTTCCCAACAATAATGGGAGCAATTGTCAGTTGTAGGATTTATGATTTGAAATAGTATTACCAAATGTTGAAGCATTATTATATCATATCATTTAAATGGAGTAGAATAACAAGGGATAAGATAATAAAACATTTATTTATTTATTTATCATGTCAGAAGCAAGTTGAGGGTACAGTTAACATGTATTTAAAAACTCAAACAAAGTTTAAAAACTTGGCATTATGCTAAATGTCCTTTGACCAGAAGCTGGCCACTTGGAGTGCCTCAGGTGTCGCTGTGAGAAGGTCCTCTTTTGTGCATGTGGCAGGGCTCAGGTTACATTGCAGTAGGTGGTCTGTGGTTTGCTCTTCTCCACACTTGCATATCATGGACTTCACTTTGTAGCCCCATTTAGCACTGCATCTCATGGTGCCGGAGCACAGCCTGTTTAGCGCTTTCTAGGTCACCCAATCTTCTGTGTGCCCAGGAGGGAGTTTTTCATCCAGTCTCAGCCACTGATTAAGGTGCTGGGTTTTAACCTACCACTTTTGGATTCTCACTTTCTGAGGTGTTTCTGCAAGTATCTCTCTCAATCTTAGGAAGGAAATGCGAGAAGCCTCCCCACGGAATTGTAACGCATTTGGGCATCCCCTGGGCAATGTCTTCATAGACAAATAATTCTCTCACATCAGAAGAAATTAATTAATTAATTAATAATGTTATTTCTAGACCACCCTCTCTCCCCAAAGGGACTCAGATAGTGAGTGTGAGTTTATATAACTGTTTTATTGTTTGTTTGTTTGTTTGTTTAGTTTGTGCATGTAGGTGTGTGTGTTGTGTTTGTGCTTTGACTTAGGTTGGTAGCTAGTTGTAGTAGGTAGAATGTAGTTCTAGTTTTAACATATATCACAAAATATTGCTTTTTTGCATTACTACTGCCTTTCTAATGTGTTCTTTTTTATTAAATAAACAGTCACTTAACCAAGTCAAGCTATAATAAAATCAGGTTCACCAAGTTTTAAATAAAACAGGCCTATCACAATGTTCATTTTCCTCCCTGGTAATGTGAGAGACAGTCAGGAATATAGCAAATAAACTTTAGTGATTATTTCTAGATTGGACGTCTTGTCAGGTTGAGGCACTTGGGCATTAACTAGAATTTGCTGAAAGGGACAGAACAACATCTAGAGGCAGTTGACTTATCAGATTTGGAGATATGGAATCTTAGAGAGTGAAAAACTCCTCCTAGGTTGGGATGAACCTGAAATAGTGATGGCAGTTGAAGTTATGTGTGAATCCAGGTGTTAGTCTCAACTTTAAAGATGCTATCCAAAAAGCTAAACGTATTTGGAGGATAGGGTTCAACACATGAGATAGTTCACTTACAGTTCAAACTAAAATTCAGAGCAGATTCATTATCCCACTGATACAGATCTAGAGCTCCACCTTCACGGCCATTATAATGCAGATTGAACTGGATTATATGGCAGTATAGACTCATATAATCCAGTTCATTGCAGTTCAGTCTGCATTATATGTCTACACTGATCATATTATACAGTTCAAACTGCTGATATGGCAGTATAGATGGGGTATAAGTGTCTGTTCCTTAGTGTTTTTGAGAGCCTGTGTTCCTATCTTTTAGAGGCAGGATCATGTGTGTCAACTCTATTCCATGTATTTGTTTTGTTTACCTTGTACTGTCAAACGGAGCCTTTGGACCTTTTTTTTGCATTTGGTTAAGAACTGTTAAGTGAAGCTGAATTATGGTTATAGTCCCAGCTAAAGTAAACCCACTGAATTAATTGTTGAACAATGAGTCAACACTTAAGTGGTTCAATGGGTATACCCTAGTTAGGATTACCAATACAATACAGGCTTTTATGTTGTGATGATTATCATATGAGCAAGACTATGTTAAAAAAATCTATTAGTTTTGTTTCTTTTTTGTTTCCTGTTCCCCCCAGTATACCACTACTTTGTGAATATTGTTATCTGGAACAAAAACAGTAGAAGTGGTTTCATAAAGATCAAAATAACAGATAATGCAGGGAACACAACAGAATCGAAAATTTATAGGTAAGTTTATTTATTTATTTTGACCATTTCTACCCCACCCTTCTCACCCCCGAGGGGGGACTCAGGGCGGCTAACACAGGCAACAATTCAATGCCAACAGTATCAAAACACAATATAAAACAGCAATATAAAATCAATTACATAACAATTAAAATTACATAATTACATAGAGAAAATCACATAATCACAGGTCATAAAGCCATTTCCAATTTTCAAACAATCCTATTATCCAAGTTCAGTGCCTAAAGTGCTGCTGTGCCCACTAACCAAAGGCCTGGCTCCAAAACCACGTCTTTAGTTTTTTCCTAAAAGTAAGGAGGAAGGATGCCAATCTAATCTCGCTGGGGAGCGAATTCCATAAGCGGGGGGTCACCACCAAGAAGGCCCTGTCCCTCATCCCCACCAGATGTGTTTGGGACGCTGGTGGAACCGAGAGCAGGGCCTCCCCAGTAGATCTTAAATTACGAGGTGGAACGTAGAGAGAGATACGTTCGGATAAGTAAGCTGGGCCGGAGTTGTATAGGGTTTTATAGGCCAAGATTAGCACTTTGAATTGTGCTCGGAGGTGGACCGGCAGCCAGTGGAGCTGACGCAGCAGGTGGGTGGTATGCTCCCTGTATGGCGCTCCGGTGAGTAATCTGGCTGCTACCTATTGGACTAGTTAAAGTCTCCGAACAGTCTTCAAAGGCAACCCCACTTAGAGTGTTTGCAGTAGTCTATTCGGGATATAACCAGAGCGTGGACCACCGTGGCCAAGTCAGACTTCCCAAGGTACGGGCGCAACTGGAGCACAAGCTTTAACTGTGCAAAAGCTCCTCTGACCACCGCCGAGAACTGGGGTTCCAGGCTCAGCGATGAATCCAGGATCACTCCCAAGCTGCGAACCTGCCTCTTCAGGGGAAGTGTAACTCCATCCAACACAGACTGTAACCCTATGCCCTGTTCAGCCTTTTGACTGACCAGGAGGACCTCTGTCTTGTCTGGATTCAATTTCAATTTGTTAGCCCTCATCTAGTCTGACACAGCAGCCAAGCACCGATTCAAGGTCTGAACAGCCTCCTTAGTAACAGGTGGGAAGGAGTGACAGATTTGGAAGTAGTCAAGTTTCAGTAGTTGATTTGATATTGAAGTCATACAAGAATGAATTCAAGGTATTGTCTTGCTTGGAAATAAGGTCCATTAAAAGCAAATTATTGGTGCTAAGTGGAGTGGTTTGCAGTCACACATTGAGTATAAATTTGGAATGGTATGTTGAACACATGCCACAAAAATACAAATACGTGCAAATTGATTTATAGCATTATAGTGTTGGAGGGAGAGCCAGAGGTTCTCTAGTCCCATCCCTGCCAGGTCATGAGTTTATTGTTGAAGTGTCCATAATAATATGGTCACCAAAGCTCAAGTGAAGAAAAGTACGCCACCTTCTCAATTACTCTGTTTCACTGTTGGATGACGGTTTTTGTTGTTGTTGTTGTTGTGTGCTTTCAAGTAGTTCCTGACTTATGGGCAGCTCTGGAAAACCCTGTGAGAGCTGGGCTACAGAGTCGTAGTCGAACACTCAAACCACTAGGCTGCTATCAGAAAGTTCTTCCTATTTAGAATTTCATTTCATGTCATTTGAATTCATTGGAATGAGCCTTATTTTGAACAGCAGAAAACAACCATACGACACTTTGCCCATCACATTCCTTCAGGTATTTAAAGATAGCTATTGTCTAATCCCTCAATATTCCTCCAGGATAAACTTATCCAGTTCTCTTAAACGTCCCTCATAGTGTGTATTAGAGATATATGGTAGATGAGATGAACCAATAGGATTGTCTGTTATGTTACAAAAATGTGGTTCATTTTGGATGAGAAGAGGACATAATTTGCACTTTTCTACAGACAGCAAAATGTCTTGGGCCAAATATTCTCAGAGATCAATCAACAATGTTATTATTGTGAACATTCGGAGTATACCAGGGGATGTTGGTACCAATACAACACTGTCTCAATTTCCTTTTAGTGATGCAGCTGCATTTCACCAATACAAACATGCCAAGATACTTGCTGGATTCTCCCCAGATTTTGACAACATAGCAAAAATTTCTTTGACATTCTCAACCAGGAATGTAGTGGGCCCAAAGTACAAGCTTAGAGTCCTAGAAATGAGATTAAAATCGCTTTCAGTTTCTCAGAGGTAAGTAGAATATTGTGGCAAAATTGTGAAGTTCTTATATATACTTTGTATGTCTAAGTAGGTAAAGGTAAAGGTTTTCCCCTGACACGAAGTCCAGTCGTGTCCGGCTCTGGGGTCTGGTGCTCATCTCCATTTCTAAGCAAAAGAGCCTGCATTGTCTGTAGACACCTCCAAGGTCATGTGGCCGGCATGTCTGCATGGCACGCCGTTACACAGTAATAATAATAATAATAATAATAATAATAATAATAATAATAATAATAATAAATTTTATTTGTATTCCTCCCTATCTCCCCAAGGGGATAATCATCACGTATCTACAGATATGTGTTTCATCCATCTGATTGTGTTTTTCTTGCATTGGAATATATGGCCCATGTGTTCTCTTCTAACTCACATATAATAATAATAATAATAATAATAATAATAATAATAATAATAATAATAATAGAAACTGAAATCCAGTCTCTGACTAACACTGTCTGAATCTTTAGCACTGATATCAACATGGAGTTTGGTTTGGACAAATGTTTGACAATGGCATTGAAGAAGGGAAAAATCATTGAAAGTGAGAGCATAAATATGCTCAATGGCCAAGCGATAAAGTGTCACCAGACAGAGGCCTATAAATATCTAGTACAGCTGGACAACATCAAACATGAACATGTGAAAACTGTGGTCAGCAAAGGAATACATTCAAAGGGTCAGAAAAATTCTCAATAGCAAGCTCAATTTTCATAATTCACTACATCTTCGCAGTGATGTTGACCAGCTCTGTCTGCCTAGAAAATCTGGTGGCAGTGGACTTTTACAAATAAAACAAGCAGTCGAAGAAGAAAAACATGCCCTGGAAGAATATGTAAAGGAAAGCCAGGAACCTGCTTTAATTGAAGTCAGTAATCAGAAACTTCTCAAAGCACAACAGACAAAGAACCAGTACAAGAAAACTGCACTACAAGCCAGAGGTGACAGCTGGCACAACAAAGCACTGCATGGGCAGTTCCTTGACAAAATTGAAGGAAGAGGTGACAAGGAGAAGACTTGGTTATGGCTCATGAATGGAACACTGAAGAAGGAGACAGCAGGCCTGATTCTTGCAGCCCAGGAGCAAGCCATCAGAGCAAATGCAATTAAGGCCAGGATTGAAAAATCAGCTGATGACCCAAAATTCAGACTGTATAAGGAAGCTGATGAAACCATGGATCATATCTTCAGCTGTTGCAAGAAAATCGCACAGACGGACTATAAACAAAGGCACAACTCTGGCCCAAATGAGTCACTGGAACTTATGTCACAAGTACCACCTACCAGCAGTAATGAATTGGTGGGATCATAAACCTGCAAAGGTAGTGGAAAATGAACACACAAGAATACTGTGGGACTTTTGAATCCAGACTGACAAAGTTTTGGAACACAATACACCAGACATCACGATTGTGAAAAAGAAAAAAGTTTGGATTATTGATGTTGCCATACCAGGTGTCAGTCGCATTGAGGAAAAACAACAGGAAAAACTCGGCCATTATCAGGACCTCAAAATCGAACTACAAAGGTTCTGGCATAAACCAGTACAAGTGGTCCCAGTGATCATTGGCACACAGGGTGCCATGCCAAAAGATCTTAGCCAGCATTTGGAAACAATAAACATTGACAAAATCACGATCTGTCAACTGCAAAAGGCCACCTTACTTGGATCTGCATGCATCATTTGAAAATACATCACACAGTCCTAGACGCTTAGGAAGTATTCGACTTGTGATTTTGTGATACAAAATACAGCATATAGATCTAATTTACTGTGACATACTGTGCTTTTGTGTCAGAATAATAACAATAACAACAATAATAATAAGTCTCACTTGCCTCTCCTCATGGCTTGAGGCAGGTCACAGMACTGTCAGAACACAAACATTGCAAAAATTCCGACAGGTTGTTCCAAAGTCTTGGCCATCCTCTGGGTGATGATYGCCAGTCGGGTTCTGGCTAGCTGGAATAGCCGTCCCTAGAGGACCTAAGTGTGCAGGGTAGATCGTAAGAGAGAAGACAATCCTGTAGGTCAGGGGTCCTCAAACTGTTTAAACAGAGGGCCAGATCACAGTCCCTCAAACTGTTGGAGGACCAAATTATAATTTGAAAAAAAAATRAATGAATTCCAATGCACACTGCACRTATCTTATTTGTAGTGCAAAAAACACTTAACAACAACACAATAATTAAAATGAATAACAATTTTAACAACTATAAACTTATTAGTATTTCAGTGGGAAGTGTGGGCCTGCTTTTGGCYGATGAGATAGGATTGTCATTGTTGTGTGCTTTCAAGTCGTTTCAGACTTAGGTTGACCCTGAGCGAGGACCAGGTAAATGACCTTGGAGGGCCATATCCAGCCCCTGGGCCTTAGTTTGAGGATCCTTGCTGTAGGTAATCCATATAGTGGTTCTCAACCTGTGGGTGCCCAGGTGTTTTGGCTTACAATTTCCAGAAATTCCAGCCAGTTTAGCATCTGTTAGGATTTCTGGAAGTTGAGGGCCAAAACATCTGGGGACCCACAGGTTGAGAATCACTGATACAGAGCTTTAAAGGTCAAAACCAATATGGTTTATTTTGTCTATATTTTTATGCAAGTCCTTTTACAATTTAGAAAGTTGATAATTGAATAACTGGATTTCCTAGAATTCCTCAGTACAGTATCATAGACTATAATTATATAATTGCATCTTACTGTTGGTAAAATATGTAGAATTGATGTTGAACACACATAGGGTTCTCTAGTTATTTATAATTACTGTAATTACACAAGCACAGAGAGATGCATTAAAAACAACCGAGTTCTAAATGTTAATTCAATTAGAACAAAAATAGAAAAGAAATGCATAAGCATAAGAAAATAATGCTTAACACAGAGAGAGAGAGAAAGAGACAGAGAGAGAGACAGAGAGAGAGAGCACAGTAAGAATACTGAGAAGGAAACCACAAGATAATAAGACCTCCATCATCATTATATGGCAATGGTCTTGAGAAAAGGACCTCAGGTGTTGTCTCCTTTTTCCTGTGTGGAACAAAAGATTTTTTTCTTGCGTTTTTATCCAATGAGAAATGATAGAAGTTACTTTTTTAAGCAATAGAGATAAAAGTCAGGGATTACAATAAGACAATTCTAGAAGAGCAAGTAAATGAGATTTTCAAAATCCAAAGGAAAATGACTTCTGCTTGTCTGTATAAAAAAGAGAATTCGCCAATGGCTTCATGTTTTGATGAGGATGCCTACACATAGAATAGGCCATCCAGTTCAACCCCCTGCCAAGAAGCAGGAAAATCACATTCAAAGCACCCCCAAAAGATGGCAATCCAGCCTCTGTTTAAAAGCCTCCAAAGAAGGAGCCTCCACCACACTCCGGGGCAGAGAGTTCCACTGCTAAACAGCTCTCACAGCCAGGAAGTTATTCCTCATGTTTAGGCAGAATCTCCTTTCCTGTAGTTTGAAGCCATTGTTCCATTGCATCCTAGTCTCCACGGCAGCAGAAAACAAGCTTGCTCCCTCCTCCCTGTGACTTCCCCTCACATATTTATACATGGCCATCATGTCCCCTCTCAGCCTTCTCTTCTGCAGGTTAAACATGCCCAGCTCTTTAAGCCGCTCCTCATAGGGCTTGTTCTCCAGACCTTTGATCATTTTAGTCACCCTCCTCTGGACACATTCCAGCTGGTAGGAGGAGGAGGAGGAGGAGGAGGAGGGCGCAGGAGCCCGAGCCGGATGGCGCGCGGGGCTAACAGCAGGAGCGGAGGCCGGTTGTAAAGGTGAGCGGAGCGCGCGCGCACCAACCCAACAGCTCTGCGCCCCCCCTCCTCCTCCTCCTCCTCCTAGCACTTCCTGCAACACAGCTGGGAGGAGGAGGAGGAGGAGGAGGAGGGCGCAGGAGCCCGAGCCGGATGGCGCGGGAGGCCGGTTGTGTGAGTTTACTTTTCAGGGCTGTATGTATGACCAATCCAGAAGCATTCTCTCCTGACATTTTGCCCACATCTATGGCAGGCATCCTCAGAGGTCTGTTGTTTACATATGGGGGATCTACTTGAATGCTTTAACAAGTTAGGCAAAGTTGTGCACTTTCCCTTTTTGGTATTTGCGTAAAACTTGGCTGATAAAACCACCTCCAGAGGGATATTTGTCACCACATTCCAGCCACATTGTCACCTCCTGGTCGACAAAAAAGATCTCTAATGGGGTTAAAACAGACTGGTATGGCAACTAGGCCTGTTTGATCAAGAAAAAATTTCGATATTTAAAATACTAGGCAAATGGAGTTTAAAAAATGTTTTGTAAATATTTACGAAATTTCGTAAATAACAAAACATTTTTTGGAAAGTTTTGTAAATATTTTAAATATCGAAACAAAAAAACACCCCAATTACAAATCGATTTTAGAAACAAATTTTTTCTTGATCAAACAGGCTACTAGACACTATACTCCTATTTATGAAGGCCAAAATCCCATTGTCTTTTTTAGCTGCTGCATAACATTGTTGGCTCATGTTTCACTGGTCCACGAGGACTCCAAGATCTTTTTCACACGTACTGCTGTTAAGCCAGGCATTCCCCATTCTGTATCTTTGCATAAGTGGGAAAAAATCTAAGTAAAAGGTATATACTTACTGTGCCCATTGAGATTTTTTGCCAAGAAGTAGATGGCATTCTATATGAACCCGATACAAGATATCAATAGGGTTTTTAAGACATGGGTGGACTGCCCATAGCCTATGTGTCACATGGTCACACGGAGCTATTTTTGTGACCCAATGTCTTAATGTCAAGTCCTGTGTGGAGATGGATTTTCTGCAGTGATTGGGGGTGGTATTTTTTCACATTTAAATCAAAGTGTTGAGAAATAAGATGCGAAAAAAACATGTCCTTGCCCTGCAAATGGCATTTGGGGTTAGAGCTCCCAGTGGGTGAGGGGTTGCCCATTTGTATACACATACACACACATGCCATGCCTGATGCAAGAGAAAACTCAAGTGCTTATAAAGGATCATAATAGAACATGGGCGAATATGTATAATTTATGTAGGAGTGCCTGTACATATGATGTTGCATTTCTTTTAACGTTACCTCCTTTTTCTCTGTAGGATTCAGCTATGTAGATATGATTTCACACTGCTGGAAAATATTGAAACAAGCTTCAGACCCATTCCATGCCTTGACATCATGGACTGAAACAATTTATTTTAAATAATACTTTCTCAAGGACATTGTATGCATCAAGTTAAAGTTGACACATAAAGTTCACTTGACTCTCTTTAAGAATGCTAAAATTTCAAAAATTATTGCTAACTTTGAGAACTATGGAATTAAATTTTGCAAGTAATTCTGCTGTTCCCAGTGTATTAGATGCATGTATCTGTAGTCCATTTCTAATTAACAAAGAAGAGAGTCAATGTGGTGAATCATCTTTTTGTTGACTTTGTAGTCTTCCAAGCAATGATACTACATTCAATTGAATTTAACAGTAATTACAGACTGATCTCTTTATGTAGGTCCAGAACTCATAGAAACATACTTTTTCTCATTAACTTTGGAAAGATATTCATTTAATGTGGATTTCAATTGTCAGCGTAGTATACCAATGTCCTTTTCAGGTATTTGCCTGAGACGCACAGGGGCAAATGTAGTTACAGAGCCGTCTTCTATCTATTGAGCTAAGCACACTAGGAACTAACTCCTGGTTGCTCAGGGATATCTGGGGATCGGTTTAAATGCCATCTTCTCTCTGTTCTCAGTTTTAACCCTATGTATTTTCAGGTGAGCATCTGAACAAAATTCAGCTTGTTCAGGCCATCCTTTGGAAGAGTTTAGAACAAAATTAAAGATTTTGAGAAAGTCATGGTGCACATTGAAGGCTATTGGATGAAGTTGATAGTCTGTGTTGTTTGAGCCAAATGTTGCTTTAACTGGATAAGGAAGCGAAATATATTTCTCTGTTCAGACGTTTGGTTATCTAAAACATGCAGATTATTCTCACTAACTAAAGATTAAGACATCTGAAAGTTATGTTCCCTTCCCAACCATTTATCAGTTGACTTGACTGCTTACACAACAGGACATGTTCATACGTTCTGGATAGCCACATTGTGCATTTGATACCCATTGATGCCAAATGAAGCTTATGCAATTTGCAGGAAAATAGTAATGGCAGATAGAACATAAGTGCATAGAATTATATTTGTGGAGAAAGTGGGTGAGAAGATGGTTTCCGCCTTTTCTCAAAATGCTATAACACAGTAAGTCATTGAAATTCAATGAAGAGAGACTAAAAAAACATAAAAATGATCACATTGTTAAAAAACTTGTCAAAACGGAATTGGATGAATACTTGGTTGATATGACCACAAGTCATGGTAGATACATATTTCTTCCCGTACCTGGAAAGATTGTTTCTCTATATCATAAATGAATATCAGTCAGTGGGTAGAGTTGCACTTAACATCCTCCTGTGAACATCTGGTTCGGACTGCATGAAAAAGCTGTAGTAGATTGGCCTGTGGTTTAATCTGCCATATGGCTTTTCTTATGTTTTGGCATTTCTTTCCTTATGTTTATTCAAGAATGTCTATGAAATTCACTGGGATCTATTTCTTTACAGGTATGCTTACCAGTATGTCCTTGTCTGCCTTTATTAACATCTTGGGCTGTGAATATTATTATTTTTATATACATTTAATAAATATTTGTTTATTGAAAGGCTTGGTCATGTCACTAATTACAAAGAACTGCAGAAGGCATTTCTTTTGGAAACAAGAAACAATAACATGAGTATATTTTTGTGTGTGCCTGCTCTCTTCACCTGTAAACCATTGTGGTTTGCCCCATACTTTTAACAATACAACTCGTGTATGGCTGAGATAAATTCTCTATCCTCCTCAGACTGTTGCTTCAGTTTTCTCCATACTTCTCTGAGTCAAAATCAGGAAAAGAGAAACGTGATTAAAACAGTGGGGGAGGGAGTAAAATATGGGAGTTGTTTCCTGCCCCTTTACTGTTTATTGTTATGAACTGTCAAGTTAGCTTCAGCTCATGGCAGCCATTGAACAAGACCTATTAATGTTTTGCACACCCAAGGCTGTGGTCTCATGATAGAACTATTGATGTGTCCAGTCTAACAGCCCCAGTTTATTCAATCTGCCTTCTAGGGAGAGTTCACCTTTGATTTCCTTTTGCTCACATTGTCCAGAGTACCAAGCAATCAAATGTTGTAATAGTTCAGTTTCTTAAAGAGCAATCCATAATTTTCCGTGATTTATACAATCAAAGTATTTGCTTCTGATTTTCTTTTGAAGCACTCTAGAGGCCTCTATTAGCTAATACATGTTTTCAACATGATATCTAGTGCCTCTTCATTTCCTGAACCCCATTTGAATGTCTGTAATTTGTTGTTGCAAATTCAGTACAAGTCTTCATTGCAAAATATTCAGATCATTTTGTTGGCATGGGATATTTTGTTTCAGGGTTGTAATCAACCAGAAGCCATACCCAGCATAACGTGATGAATACTAGGAGATACTTCCCAAATACATGTGGGTGGATTCATAGTTCCCATCCCTACTTTGTTTCATTGCCCATCAAGTTGTTCCCAAATATACCTTTGACTCTAAGCTCAAAGTATATTTGGGAAAACGATGGCATCTCTACAGTCCTTGGGTCACAAATCTCCTTTTTTAATGTTTTTATTATTCTTATAAAACAATTATACATAACCATAATTACTATGCATTTTGTCCTTTTTCATTGAGAGTGGGGAGGGAGAAGGGAAAGGAACAAATCTCCTAATTCAGATGCTATAAAAACAGAAAAATTAAAGGTAAGACATTTAACAGATGGGGAATTTAAAAAATGGAAAAAAACTAAAAATAAGAGAAAAACTGCCAAAGTAAGAGTATGTTTTCTGACCACATCAGTTAAACCCCAATGACTTGGGGGTGGGGGTGGGTGTCAGAACAATATGGAATGATATGGAGAGATAGGAAAATTAGAATAGAGGAAAAATAAAGATTTTGAAAAATTATGCACTGATACAGGTTGAAGAGGTGGGCTGTATTTGTTGATAAATGTGACTAGGAGAACATTGACGATCTAATTTGCAGGATGGCTATGTTTGGCACCTAGACTTTACAACTTTTAGAGGTTTTCTGACAAGATGTGCATATGCTCCTTCCCTTCCGGTGGCATCCTGTGCTAACTAAGCAAGGATCATGCGGGTAGCCTATTTCTATATTTGAGTGTTGCTGTGGCAACGGGCTTCCTGTGGGCAACATGCCACCCCTCTCTTTGGCAATGTTGTACATATTCCTCCTTTGCTGATTTGTGGTGTGGGTTTTAAATGAGTGAAGGGTTGGCTTTCCTATCTCTTCTGAGGCAGGAACACTGGAAAACCTACAATGCACAGGCCAGGAAGAGAGCCAAGTGGGAGTGTGACAGATTCTGAGAAACGGCAATCCCATCTTGCAGAGCTGAAGAGCAGAACCTTAACTCTGTCTACAACTTGGCAGATGCCCCAGTTCTTAATTAATTTTTGTTGCTGTTGTTTAAGTTGAATTTTGTTTTAACAGTAGTGGAAGGTGTCTGTTCATCGGAAGAAAATATATCCCAGGAGCAAAAACTGGGTTGTCGAATTGGGAACTAGCTCATAGTTGCATCGTGGCAATGACAAAGACTTCATTAACACTTATTTGTAGTCAAGTACTTAAACTTGTTCTTCATCCATATGCCAGCCAGCATGAAAAGGTTTCAGCACTATATATTTTTGTCTTTTTTAAAATTGAGAGAAATAAAAATGGATACATTTGACCATGCTACTGCGACTAATTTTATGATGTCAATATTCCCACTTCTGATCCAAACAAATATCAAACAAACTATGTTTTGATATACTTGTAAGAGCAACATAAGGAGTATTTGTGGGAGGAGGGAAGAAATCTGCTCTTGCTGCTGCTGAGCTTTGAAAAGAAACTGAGTATAATGTAGGATATATCGGCAAGATTGTATCTATTTCTGCATTTGAGAGAGTTGTGTGCAGGTTGTGTCAAGTTCATGAAATGCAGTCTTTGCCTATTTTAAGTGGTCTTTGTTTTTATCACTATTTCAAAAAAGCCAATGCCTGAGTCAGGATTGAGGGAGTGATTAAAAGAAGTTATGACTTCTTTGGGACCATAAATATTAACACCCTTACAATGGGATCAATTTCAATGGACTGAAGTTCATTTCATCAGATGTTGAAATGTTATCTAGAATTATATATACACCCAGTACACATTTACTTACTTACATACTTACTGCATTTTTATACCACTCTTCTCACCCTTAGGGGGACTCAGAGCAGTGTACATCATGTCAAAATGGCAAAAATTCAATGTCGAACATACATATGAAGCAATACATAACATAACCAAATCAATCTATGTAAATAAAAATGTAATGTTCGTTTGTGGGATTAACATAATTCAAAAGCCACTGGATGAATTGACACCAAATTTAGCAGCAAAACACGTACTAATGCAATCTATGTCTTTCAAACAAAAAAACCCCCTTAAAAATAAAAGGGAAATAACTTAAACGCCCCCAAAAGAAAAATACCATAAAGAGCATGAGCAAAAGCCACCCTCCTCAGTGTCTAGATCCAGGAAAGTCATGCTACCTTGGTCAGACCACACCTGAAATACTGTGTCCAATCCTGGGCACCACATCATTGTGAGGGAAGAGAAGCTTAGCTATGGAGTCCTTTTCCATGCAGGAAGGCAGAGTCGTATTTCTTTTGGGGAGGAGAGGGATTGAGGAAAGGAAAGAAGGAAGGAAGGAGAAGGACTGGCCCGAAGGAGGGCATGGAGGCTTGGTGAGGCAAGGCCCAGCAGCAGCTGGAGCCACCAGCTATATACAACAACAGCAATAAATCCACTTAAAGAGTAATCAGATATAAGGCTATCAATAGCTGCTAGTCACTATGGATGTCTACTACTTAGAATCATAGAATTCATAGAGTTGGAAGAGACCTTGTGGGCCATCCTGTCCAACGTCCTGCCAAGAAGAAGGAAAATTCAAAGCACGCCCAACAGATGGCCATCCAGCCCCTGTTTAAAAGAAGCCTCCACCACACTGCGGGGTAGAGAGTTCTACTGCTGAACAGCTCTCACAGAAAGTTCTTCCTAATGTTTAGGTGGAATTTCCTTTCCCTTAGTTTGAAGCCATTGTTCCATGTCATAAGCTCCAGGGCAGCAGAAAACATGCCTGCTCCCTCCTCCCTATGATTTCCCCTCATATATTTATGCATGCCCATCATGTCTTCTCAGCCTTCTCTTCTTCAGGCTAAGCATGCCCACCTCTCTAAGCCACTCCTCATGGGGCTTATTCTCCAGACCCCTGATCATTTTAGTCGGCTTCTTCTGGATGCATTCCAGCTTGTCAACATCTCCCTTAAATTGTGGTGCCCAGAATTGGACACAGTATTTCAGGTGTGGTCTGACCAAGGTAGCATGATTTTCCTGGATCTAGACACTATACTCCTATTTATACAGGCCAAAATCCCATTGGCTTTTTTTTTTTGCAGTCGCATGACTTTGTTGGCTCATGCTTAACTTGTCCATGAGGACTTAAGATTTCACACGTAGTGCTGTCAAGCCAGGCATTCCCCATTCTGTATCTTTGCATTTCATTTTTCCTTGCCTTAGTGGAATATCTTGCATTTGTCCCTGTTGAACTTCATTTTGTTATTACTTCATCACACTAGAGAAAAAATCCACTTAGTTTTGGCCCATCTCTCTAATCTGTTAAGATCATTTTGAATTCTGCTTCTCTCTTCTGGAATATTGACTATCCCTCCCAATTAGGTGTCATCTGCAAACATCATGATCATGCCTTCTAACCCTTCATCTAAATCATTAATAAAGATATTGAACAGAACTGGGCCCAGGACAGATCCTTGCGGCACTCCACTCGTTACTTCTTTCCAGGATGAAGAGGAAGCATTGGTGAGCACCCTTGGATATGTTTGCTCAATCAATTACAGATTCATCTAATAGTAGTATTACCTAGACCACATTTGACTAGTTCGTTTGCCAAAAGGTCATGGGGGACCTTGTCAAAGACCCTACTGAAATCCAAACCTACTACATCCATGATGTTCCCTGTATCTACCCAGCTTGTAATTCTATCGAAAAAAAGAGATCAGATTAGTCTGGCATGACTTGTTTTTGATATATCCTTCTAGTATCTAAGATAGCAATTGCTCAGTCTACCACATTTTGAGGAACATGGGTTCAAAGTTGTTATTCCATTTGTATCCTGCTTCTAGGATTCATGTAATTGGCCACTGTGGGTACATAATGCTGGATATATTGGGCCTTTGCTCTGACCTGAAAGTGCTGTTCTTATATCCTTATAATATTTTTATCTCAGGAATGCATGGTTTTGTGCATTACCTGGGTTTCACTCTGCTTATTTAGTACATGAAGTTCAATAAAGAATAACAAGATTTGTTCAGGATAATGAATATGCTTGCTCCCACGCACCTTTTAAAATTATGTCTTCCACTTGAAACACATATAGCGTATCAAATATCTTCAAACAGTAGTCCATATTTTACCAAATGAGAGTATTTAAGAGTAAAGAACTGAAACTCTGTAGTCAGAAGAGGGCAGCCTTTTCACATGTATTGTAAACAAAACAACATAGAAAAATCCCTTTAATTTATT